CGGGGCGGGGCGGGGCCGCTGTTGGCGCCCCGGTGCCAATGCGCGCGCGTGCCGATGCCCTGAGCCCGCTGCTGCTGCTGGTGTTCATTCCGGAGGTGACGTAGGGTCGGCGCCATACACGGACAGCCATTGTCTGCCCTGGGCTGGTGCGCCGGTGACAATCACCGACACTTAGCGCTCACGAAACTATTTTTGTTGACTTCATCGTCGCTCTTCGCAGTCGCCACGTAATCATTCTGTACTTGCTCGCACCCCCCCAAAAAGCTTAGGCTAAGTACGTTGTACTTGTTCCTAAATGTTTTAAGCAAGTATGTCTCGTTTCAAGTGACACGTATTCGACAAATCAAAGATCAAGTACACGTCCAAGAAATCCAAGTACTTGGTCCAGGAACTCGTTTTGTTGGGTTTTGATGCTGCTCGCCGCCATGACCTCTGGGTCAAGCAGTTGTCAGCTGAATCAGGAGCTGTCGCACACACCCCGAAGCGAGGCTATACAAAAGAGCCTATCTGTAATCTGGGAAGCACGGAGCAGAGCTCTGAGCCGAGCAACTAACGCTTTTCGTCGCCGAGTGCATCTTCACACTCTGTGCCTCATCAGCAGTGCGTGTGTGCGTGCGAGTACAGGTCAGCTCGTGCTGCGGGAGCTTGGCAATGGGTATGCCAGCGCCAGCGCCAGCAATGGCCTGCCGAGGAAACACACTGCTGGCAATCCTGAATAACATTTTTGGAGTTTGATGATAGTTCCGCAAGAGCGAGACTTTGACATCGCGACGTGACGCGCTCGCCCGTTGCCCGTTCGCCGGGTGTCGGTCGAGTTGTCCCACCAGGATCAGGCTCCGGTACGGGTAAAGGTCACGCCTCCTGTCCGTCTATTGGTGACGAGGGATTCTGGTGTTGGATTTCTGCATATGTGTCTGCCTGATCAGCGCCACCTCCGCGTCGTACAGGTCGCGCGGCCATGACATTCGGGACACCGCGGAACTCTGGGAGAGAGTAAGAGAGATGGAGAGCAAGAAAAAGAGAAAAGTTGCCAAAGAAACACTCACACTAATACCTATACATACGTATACACATAACCATACGTCTGTGCTCACATCTCACTAACCTCGCGAAGTCCTCCCGGGGGAATTCCGTCCCGTCGTTGTGGCCCATGTACTTTTCAGCGTTGGAATAAGTTGCTCGCGCGCGGGCCTCCGCTGTGAGGAGAAAACCCAAACCAGAACCCATAAGCGATTCCCATGAAGCCCGGCGACTCCTCACGGCGGCCAGTCCGCCTGCCGGACAGCTCCCGTCTCTCTCTACTTGTCCTTCTCCTCCTCCTTTCCATCCTCCGTGTCTCTCTCCTCCTTACTCCTGTCCCACCTGCGAGGCGTTCTGCTTTTTGTGCCTCGCGGGGTTGTTCTTTGTCGTTCCCGCTGCAGCACATTGTCCCCCCCACCCCGGGCGGGCGCGTGGCGGGGGCGGGGGGCGGCCGCGCGGCGGGGGGACCCGGCTCCCCATAAATGCCCCTCGCCCCGATCCCGCCTGGCTCAGTACGCCGCCAAGCTCACAAGCTCCTGGTGCTCGCCGTTCGCTCGCTTCTCTCTCTCGCTCAGCTCGGCTGTGACCGCGGTGAGTGAAAGAAAGCAGTCTGTGACGACGGACGTGACGGCGGGTGTGACGACGACTAACAACAAAACCAACGAAAAAAAATCCTCGTGCGACAAGACCACCTCTGCAAGCTGATCCATGGATTAATCGTCTCATCTTATCCTCCGTCGTTTTGTTCGTTTGTGTGTGACTGTGTGTGTGTGTGTGTGTGTGTGTGTGTGTCTGTGTGCACGTGCGTTCGCGATCAGGGTTAGATTTCGAGTTGAGTCGCGCTTTACTGTGTGTCGCTATGCCTCCCGGTTCAGTGTCCGTTATCGCCGCGAAGTCCGCGAAATCAACGAAGTCCGCAAGGTCCGCGAGGTTCGTGATGTCCGCGAAGTCCCGCGAGGACCGCGACGTTCGCGAAGTCCGCAAGGTCCGCGAGGTCCTGGACGCTCGTGATGGTTAACGAGGTACGCGTTGGTCCGCAACGGTTCGCGATGGTCCGCGAATAGTCCGCGAGGTCTGCCCGCGGTGTCATTGCCCGGCTCCGGTCCATGCCGCGGCGCGTGGCGGTCCGGCCCCGTATAACGTGTCACATCCACCGCCAAAGTGAATCACTCCCGCGTACTGTACTGTATCATCGCGGTCCGCGGTCCGGTGCGATAGCGCGGGCATTGTCAGCCGTCAGCGCGCCCGTCCGCGTCCGCTCGGGGTGCTTTTGGGCTTACTGCCGGGTCCTATACGCAAATCAAAGGCTGTTTTAGAATGTAGGGGGTAAGTTTTCCCGCATGGCTCACGAGTGTTTTAGTCCAGGGCACATTATAGTATGAAATGGGATGTTTGAAGAGCAAGATGAATTTACCCGATCTGGAAAAAAATCACAACAGGATTACAAATTTGCAAATGCAATTTCAGCTGAAAACTCCGCATTCGGATAGAGTCTCGTGGGAAAATTACGCCTCTGTATACGCTGTGGGGCAGCTCCGTCCGCTCGCCGGGCCGGGGTTATTGGCACCGCGTTACACATTCGGTCCGGACGGGAAGTGGATCTGCCTCCATGACGATAACCCTTCGCTCCGCTGCGTGACCCAGGAACTCGTCTCGGATCCGCGGTGCGTGACTAGGCTGATCAAAAAAATGCGCTGCAACAACTGGGTCGAAAACAGAGGCCAGAGATTCCCCCGATCTGAGGGAAACGACACAAAATCTCTTGCCGCCATCAGTGAGTTAGTTAGTTGTTTTCTTCTCTGTTTTTCGAAGACCAGGCGGGACACCTTGCGCTTTTGAAACACGAAAAGAAGAGGTGGGGATGGGGTTGTGAGAGGCGAGGGTGAGGGTGCCAAATGAAAACCGGGTTATGTCAAGACACGCCGTTAAAAACCCGTCGCAATAGACCAGGCGGCCGCGCTATACGGGCAGGGTGATGGGTGCCATGGCGATGATAGTGGCGCTGGGCGGGTGACGGGTTGTGTTCGGGTCTCACGGTGGCAGGACAGGGCGAGCCCCCGGAGGGGAGGCCTGCCCCGCCCCGCCCCGCCAGCCGGTCTGGGTGAGGTAAGGTGACGCAACGCGTGTGCTCGTGCTTACAGCTGGCAGCGCCGGTCGAGATGTCCAGCTGGCGCGACGTGGCGAGGCGGGGCGGGG